AAGTCAAAGTCAAAAACATTTATTGCAACCATTTACAGGTACTTTTGAAATGTCAATATAGAACAATAGTCCGTCAGTCTGTACGTCAGTGAAGTTAGGTGTTCGTTCCAAAGTATAGATTTGAATGAAGGAGAAGAAGCACGGAACTTCATCGTTACTAATTACTAATTAAAGAAATATAGATCTTACAATCTCACAAATACATTATTTATATTTATAATACAGTATTGTACAGACTTGTGGGCAGAATTGATACTGCGATCCACTAAATCAATTCAGTCCATAAGCTTACTAAGCTTTTAGTTTTTAGGTGCTGGCAATTCAGTGATATGATGCGATAATTCAAAAAAAAAAAAATTTTATGTTATAAGTCGGCAAACGAGCAGACAGATTACCTGATGGTAAGCAATCGGCGCCGCCCATGGACACCCGCAACACCAAAGGAGTTACGAGTGCGTTGCCGGCCTTTTGGGGATACGGGTTGGGGATGTAAGGATCGGGAAGGGATAGGGGAGGGGGAGGGATTGGGCCTCCGGTAACCTCACTCACACGGCGAAACACAACGCTGTGGGTTGTTTCACGCCGGTATTCTGTGCGGCCGTGGTATCACTCTGGTCGAGCCGACCCATTCGTGCCGAAGCATGGCTCTCCCACACTTACACAATTCTGTTATTCTTACTACCTAGTCTCTTAAAAACATACTTAACCCGCTAACGCTCAACACATGCCCTTAACCACCCTTCGTTTACTAAGCTGTAATCAACGTACTTATAACCGGGTCATAAACTCCTTAGTTTTCATGTAAACTTTGCAATCTAATTAAAACCACCATAATTATACGACAGCTACTAACGAAGCACATTATTTTTTCATTGCGTTTGAATTTTATTTATGTTGAAGTAGGTTAAATATTTTTCAAAAATAACTTGAACGTTTACATTTTGCTGCTTAACCCAGAATCCTTCACATTCGATATTTAATTAGAAACAAAACTAATTATCAATAGTAATCTAATCTAGAGTAGCCTTAATTTAGAGTAACCACGGTTTGAAAATAACTTTAGTTTTTGTAATGACTGAAAAACTTCGTGAATGACTGGCAATAGTTATCAATTAACATTAAAACTCCGTAATAATTCTTAACAACTTTTGCTAATCTACTAAGCTCCAATAAGCCACGTCAGCGGACGAGCCAGGGAATATTAGCAACCTTTGCAAATCCCAGGAGTTGTTCTTTTCTAACTTAGACCAATCACTAGAGCAGCTTACTTGTGCGATGAGTGCTGTTGGCAATTAATTTCAGTTGCTTCCTGTTAACTTTTTCATACCTTTCAATATCTGAGCAATAAAAATTTGTATTATAAGTATAATATTAAACCTCGCCGCGTTTTAGGTATCCCCTTCAGCGGAACTGTTATGCAACAACAGAATTTGAACCTTTAAATAATTAAGCGATCTGTCTGTTAAATACTACCGCTAAGGGTATGTCCTTTACACAATTTGATGGACATTAATTCTTGCGATTCTGTGTATTAAATACTCTAATACCATCGCAGAGCAATTTTTAAAAATCTATTAACTGTAATATTATCTATACTTACTGATATTATTTTATGTATGAGTTTGTATGTAGGGGGTAATCTTTGGAACCGCTCATCGGATTACCAATAATCTTTCACTGATAGATAGCTACAATGTTCCTGAGGGCTATAGGCTATAAAACATCACGTAGCTAGTCATTGATATTTACATAGTCCAATCATGTTTTCCAAAAGTAATGTATTGAAGTCTTCTTGTAAACCCTAGCTTTAGATTTAAGAACTTTAGTCGTTAAACCAATGAAACATGTAATAAGGATCTCAAGAGACCAATATGAATTGACTTAGTACCAAATTTTAAATGGATTCCCTCTCGAAAGTACCATAAACGTTCTCTTAGTACCCAATTACAGCGCACAGACGATATGAGCGAGCAATTATGGCTGAACGATCCACTGTAATGTCTTCTTTTAAGAACTAATTTAAAATCTTTTGGCGGATATCTTTCTTAAAAAAAAACATACACTCCCTTAACTCTTTCAAAAACCTATGGAAACTTTACTAAAAGTTACAGGCATAGAAATCTTTGATTAAAGGCCCCTCGTTTATTTATCCCATCTCTAAACTTTGATTTGTTTTACAAATTAATATTTGAGTACCATTTACTCGATTTGTGTCTGCTTGATAAACGCCCATAGGGGAAATAAAGGATGCTGGCATCCCAATGAATTCTGTTAAATAAAGCTATTCATCTCATTCACGACACCTCTGAGCCAGAGTGGCTGTGAAAATATTTACGCCAGCAGCTATTAATCACTGGACACTTTTTAAATGTCAAAGGTGAATTTACATGTTTTAAGGTTCGAAGAGGAGATCAAACATTCAGACACATAAAATGACTGTGTATTCGTAGTGGGTATGGCAAAATAATATGACATATTGCCAATGCGTCAAAGTGAAGTTAAAGAAAAGGCTGCAACTACAAATAACTATTCAGTGAAAGATAAAAGATATGAAAAATATTTTAATTAAAATAACAAGAATACCTTTTCCATTCTCAACTCCACGCAAAAGTAAATGGATATACGTGTGCTGAAATCGAGCGTAGTGGTAGATAACGCAGTGCACGATACAACGCTGAAGGGATTAACCAGACAATGGTACTGCGAAACCTTGTTACGCGCAACTTGTCAGGCAAACGTCAACTTTAATCCCGCTGACTTAGGTCCCAACTCGATTAACACGATTGTTTGTTTGTTACAGGCTATTAATGTTACTGCTGGGGACCCTCTCAAGTTATTAGTATTGTGTCATGAATACTGTCGCCAAAATGAATTTGACTACAATATTTTTTCAATGATTACCACATGATTAATTTCGGTCACCAATTTAATGAACATTAAGTTTATTTTCGGTTTGGCGCACCGCTTAGTCACGTCCCGGATACAATGTTGTGCAAAAAATGACAAGACAAGTACTGAAATATTTCGGCATTCGAGTTCATTCAACGTTTTATTGTGCGCTTCGTTCAGTTCGCAAGCTTCATAAACCTACCTGAAAACTGGGATACTCCAGACAGCATAGATAGCCCCGAATGCCGGCTGTTGGAAGGATGGATCATCCCTATGGAATATATCTCGGAATCCTCGAATTGCCACATGGTGTACTTTTAGCGTTCAATTGACATTAATTATCTAAACCGAATTAACCGCCTTCACCACTGACAATCCCCGAACAAAGAAAACTCACTCAGATCGGAAATTAAAACGAGACTAAATAGTTTATCTGATAAATATAATTTTAATTGATACCAACTGTGTTTTCTAACACAATTTGAATAAAAACGATCATAATATTAAGCTGATGTGTGGTGATATGCATGAGTACAGCGACGTCCGCACGGCACGGAGGGTGCGACGCGACTGAAAGAGCGGTCTTTGTATTTGTTTGCCGGCGGGGTGGGGGTGGCGTAGGGGGTCGTGGGTGGCTACGTCACAACCGCCCCACACGCCTGGGCCCGCGGGATCTCTACAGATACTGATATCATTTTTTTGCCGCGGCATTCTCGCTTTCATCACGTTAATAGGATTATAATCATAATCTGACTACACAAGGGCTGAAATGTAATTTTTACATTCAACATTTCAAGCATTTTAACTGGCTGTAAATTTAAATTTAGTGGTCATTGAACTTTAATATAATATTATGTATATTAATAAATCTCACACACATAGATAAGAAAAGACAAATATTTTTTTTAGTAAGAAAGTATAACATGAACTTTGTAATCTTCAAATTAAGTTTGGGATCTGAAAATTCTAAATGTCTGATACTTAGACATTATAGTTTGTACCTTTGATTAGTGCTACCTTTAGTTACTGCAAAAAGCTATCTTATGTTTCAACATAGCTCATTCAATGACAAACATTAGTAACGGGAACACAACAGTAAGGTAGGTGTCCATGCCCACTATAGAAAAAAAAAACACAGCATTTAAGGTATAGTGGTATAAGCATACCATATGCTTTGTTTAAAATTAAACATTTGGTAAGTAAACTTGTTATGGCAGCTAGTCAAAATTTTCAAATAAGAAATGCTGAAGAACAAACAGTATACAAAAATGAGTCTCTATTTTTAAATAGTACTATTGTCGATTCAGTGTCTCATTGACTTGGTCTACTAATGTTCAGGCTTAAAAGAACTGTTGCTTAGCTAGTGTAGTTACTTCAAAGTGAAAGAACACAAACCCTTATGCTCAAAAGAAATATGTTTCAAGTAAATCAGTATTTGTAAAATGACCAGTTTTATAAGAAATTGGCTCCCATTTTTCAATTTTAATTTATTTAATTATATACAAAGATTTTTATGTCACCAATTTCATTAGCTGCATCATAAAATAATCATTTTCTGATTAAGTATCCTGTAATTTAAACTGTTCTTACTAATCTTATCAAAAAATAATAAAATATTTAATGCTATAGATAAGTGGTTCAATACATTTCTGGTTATCAAACACCTAAAGTTCACTATCAGTAACTAACTAGGAAGTTAAATAGATTTTAAACAAATGTTAAGTAAATATCTCCTATAGAAACTAATATTAACAAAACAACCACTAAAATAACTTCAAATCTCTGTATCCCTTGGATACAGAGATTTTTTTATATTCAATTAAATCTTCGTTGAATACCTTTCTTCTAATCCTAGGAGTAGGGAGACAGAAATTAAATCCATAAAGCAGTGCAGTGGTGTAAATAAATATTGTTTTAATTCATAAATTTACTAGTCATACCTGTAAACTTGGCGGTCTGTAATTCAGAGAATTTAAATCAAGTACTATATTTCATTAAAATATAAGTACCTAACCTGGCAAGCAATCCACCCAGTCTCTCAATATAACGTTATTTCTGTTATTTACATTTCGTTTAACGTACAGTTAAATTGACTACTTTCTAGTACTCACCATATTCCCTGAAGAGTTTCTTATATTCGCTAAGATCATTCTGGTCCAGCCACTCGTCAACCAGCGCACTTTCATCGTCAAAAATTTCAGTAAATACAACTCTAACTAAATATATAAGAGAACACATAAATAATATTGTGCCAAAATAATGTACCCGTTTATACATGTTTAAGGTTCTTGGTCATAATGCCATCTTCAGTTATATTTTTAATAAATAAACATTACTAAAATGAGGACGGCCTCAATAATTTGTTTTGATTGTGTCAATGTCAATATCAAGTTGTCAAATTTGACGTTGCTAAATTTCCAGTAAAGTTCTTAGGTTCTTGAGCATAAAAAAATGAAACTCAAATAATGGTTATCAGAATTGTAAATTGTTTGCAAAAATACTTATAACCAATTCTACTTAATTGAAATAGGCGCTAACCAATTCCGCTTTATAGTAGACACATAATCATACAAGTTTAATTAAAGGAATATACAAGGGTTCCAATGTTGTTTTTGACGTAATGCTCTGACTTAATTTTATTAATCATTAGAAACCTGGAACGATTCTGAGTATCGACTTTTTTATGGCGTACATTCCAGGGTTGCTACTAACATGGAAGAATATTGTTTTTATTCATTTCATATCTTTTATACGTTTAAGAAAACGTCCGTTTGTACCTAAAAAAATGTGGCGTATACAAACAATTTTAGAATACGTGTTTGTTTTAAGTGTGGTCCTTTATACTTCGGACTTAATAAGCCGGCTCGACCGGAGTGATACGACGGCCTTATAGAATACTAGCGTTAAACAACATTTACGTTGTTTTTCGCTATATGAGTGCGGCAAACATTATATAAATACTACGTTACAAGTGCGGTAAATCCCTTATAGGTACCTAACCCAGTAAAAGCAAGCAGCGCACTTTTAACTCGTCTAGTATCACGAATGTCCAATATTGGACGCTGTTCACTTAGTATTGCTTCATCAGGTGATGCGTCTCCTTATATTAAAGATGGCAAATAACATCTAGGTACGTCACAGTTTTAGGTGTAACCAAGGACATTAAAATGCTGTAGCTATAGCAATATAATATATTCAATAAAAAATGTGTAACGTATTTTATTGACATCCTAGCTATTCTCGCGCGGTTACACCCGCTGCTTAGCTCCATTTGATCGTAGCGTGATGTTTTATAGCCTATAGCAATCAGGAACATTGTAGCTATCTATGAGTGAAGGAATTTTGGCAATCCGACCAGGCGGTTCCAAAGATTACCACCTTTAATTATCCTCTTTATAATATTAGTATAGATATAGACTATTTTAAATAGTTCCTACTCTTCGCGTATGACTGGATATTAGTATTCCTATAACTACAAACATTGCGTTTACTGAATCGATGAGATAATTTTGAAAATAATGTGTAATGCTACAAGGTATAATATTAAGTTTGCGTTTTAACGTTTAGACTAAAAAGGAGTTTAAAATAAAACACTGAACATATTTTTTACTAGTCTATTTATATAAATTGTTTTTTCGATATCACAAGGAGTGCTCGTAAAGTTTATAGAGCTGCATAAAGCTAAGTGTAAGATCACAAATTATAAAACGAAAATTTTAAAACCAAGAACACCATGCACATCTTGTATGCTAGAAAATTGTTAAACATTAGATATGCTTACAAGTTGTGATACCCACAAATAATTGACCATTGTACCCAATTCCTCTTAATATCCACATTCATCATAAAACGACCAAAAATTATATTACGCTTGATTTTATTCTTGGTTAAATTAAATTTAAGCAAAATTAAATAAAACCAAATATTTGTTTCAAACTATAATTGAATAAAAAAATGATTAAAACATTTTATACAAAAAATAGAGTAAAACAAACTAAAAAAAACAAAAGGCTACTTATAAAGTAAACTATAAGAATCTACCAAAGTCAGCTTAGATTTTAAAGACTGCCGACTGAAAGGCGTTCACAATATCACGTAGTGGGCATACACGATGGTGCGACAGGCGCCTTGCGAAATGTGGGAGTAAAGGCCATTTTTAACAACTTACAGGCAGCTAAACCAGCTCTGTTCAAAATACAAGAAATATCCATGCATTCCGTGTAAACAAATTTAAATGCAAGAATTACAAGACACGACTTAGGTACATAGATTTTAGTCGTTTTATGTTAAAGGTACTCGTAAATTCGTATAGGAGTGCGATGGAGAGGGCACTAATTTTAAAATTTGGGAATGGACCTCTACTTTATAATCTAGTCATTCATAGTTTATGACTTGACTTTGAGTCTGTCAGCCAGGGAGCAGGATAGGCCAGTGCCATCGGGTTCCACGTTCAGTTGGTCGACTTTGCTATCCTTGATGACCATGGAGAAGCGCTTGGCGCGGTACCCGCCAAGAGGCGGCAGGTTGATGCCAAGGTCCAACGACTTGATGAATGTACCGGAGGGGTCGGCAAGCATCCGGACCTGTGAATATGTACGAAGCTCCATTATACAATCTGTCTACGTGATCATGTTGCTATTGTTTTTTTTTTGCTTTGAGAAAATTTATATTCATATGAAGGTAGGTACTAGACAAGTAATGGCTTTTTTGTAAGGGGAAAATCATCAAATGACTTCTCCCGCCTAGGGTCGGGCGACAGGGAGTGTCAGACTCTTACTGACTAAAAACCCCGCCGGTCCTTCTCCTGCTCTAGGCCGAGGCCGCGGTGACTCACTGCGCTTATTCCGCAACCTCGGCTGAAGTAACTATAGTTAACTACTTGCATTCTTGAATAGTAGTAACTATTGTGAGGCATATGTACCAATATTATTAAAAATAATGACTTACAATAGGAACCTTATTAATGAGCAGCGTGCGTGACGGCTCAGCCAATTCTCGTTGTGAATCCAGTGAGTTAGTCATTATTTTCAATAAATTGTTGCAATTTCCTATATAACTAAGTCGTCATTTACCTTATAAAAATACTTATATTTGACGAATACTTAATACAAAATAAGAACGGTGCCAAATATTTCACAAAAATAAAATTGTAGGTTTTATATTTACGAGCGAAAGGAAGGTTAAACATAAAGCCACAACTGAAGGTTTATAGCCTTTACTTAAATAATTTAATTAGTTACGTGACAAAGTGAAGTTAATTAAGTTTCCGCCTTTCAGCGTCGCTTTTAGTAATATTATTTGGTACTGGATAATATTGGCAGTAGTCGACAGTAAGGTCGGCCCGCTCGCTGTCCTATACAATACATAATTATGACACGCCAACATGCGATTGCATAGATTTAGACATTTATGAATATTGTCATGACATCAAAATCAGTAAATTTTCTTATTTATATTTACATTATTTATAGTTCTTGATCAAACCGAGACTCGAAAATAGAAGTGGAACAATATTGAGATAAATTTGCGAAAAATAAACTACAGAGAGCTTTTAAAATCAGTACAGTAAAAATTGGTATACAGGAGAAACTTAGTTTTCTACCTGGGTGCATTTTCTTAATATGTCATCTGACATCCACCTATTTATATGTTATCTGATTTGTGATTGCATGGCAGGTATAATTAAATGAACTTCGTCCATATTGTATGCATAGCGTATGCGGACGGAGCGGTCTAAATTAAGTCCGCACTGTTCTACGATCGATATACAGTGCACACAGTGGAGTAGAGTCCAAAGCCTTTCAATTCGTTGTTGACTGGAACTATTGAATTAAATCCAATTTGTAAACTATTCTATTTGGGTACTGTATCTTTAATAGGATTCGAAGGGACGAAGTTTCAAGATTCCAGTTCTCAAATTACGTATATTATCATGAAAAACGCGGCAAAAAAAACTCCGATAGTCTAATTGTATAAGGATTTCTTGCTGAAATCTATGCGTAATAAGTGTTTTATGCGCTAATCATCAAGTAATATTAAAAGTGGCATCAATTCTATTTATTACACTTTCTGCCCTTTGCTTCGACAAGTAACCCAACAGTAATTTCACAAGTAATGGGCGAACTATCGATCGTCGTAATTCATGCTGAATTGTTAACTTCAATGTCGAACCACTCAAATACAATTAACTTCCTATTTTATATACATCTCGTATTAATAATAAAAGAGCTGAAAAAAGAAACCTAACGTTTAGAATTTTTTTTTAATACTCAGCAATATGTTATATATTCTCGAAGCGTTTACGACTGAAAATCCAACATACAAAGCCCTAGGAATCTCAGAAACCTGGCTAACGCAAGAAAAGTTAGATATTATTACATTTAGTGGATATAAATTCGCAGCATCTTACTGTCGAAGCACTCGACAAGGAGGAGGAGTCTGTATCCTACTACAGAACCATATAGACTACATCCAGAGAAACGACATTACGGATTTGTCCATAGAATATATTTTAGAGGTATGTGCTACAGAACTACCTAAAGAAAATCTGTTAATTATAACCATGTATTGGAACAAAAGACAAGAAGAAACGTTTTATCATCAAATACAAAAAATTCTAAGATATGTAAACATGAAATACTCTACGCTTAATGTTATTATAGGGGGCGATTTTAATATAAATATCCTGCCTGCAAATTTAAAATCGAACCAATTCTTAAATCTAATGCAGGAATTTAGATTCACACAGCACATAAAAACCGCGACACGCATAACACCTACTACAAAAACATGTTTAGACCTCATATTCACAAATTTCAAATATAAAGATATGTACACAACGGTAGAAGAATTAGGCTTTTCCGATCACAATAGTACCATATTACATTTAACGTTACCAAAGCAAACAAAGAAAATAATTTGGTACACAACAAAAAGACGATTCAACAATACAAATATTTTAAAATTTAAATCAAAATTGCACGAAATAAATTGGAATGATATAATAACGGCTGAAAAAAATATCAATGAAAACTATGAAGCTTTTAACGATATCCTAATTAGCATCCTGAATCAGTGTATCCCATTACAAAAATACAAATTAAATACAAATTATAATAAATATTGGCTCACAAAAGGTATAAAAACTTGTTGCAAAAATAAAAGACTATTAAAGATTTTAATTACCAAAACAAATAACCCTATATTAACAAAATACTACAGGAAGTATGAAAAAATATTAAAGAAAACTATAATGACAGCAAAAAAACAACACTTTAAATATAAAATGATGAAATCCAGCAATAGGGTAAAAACAATGTGGGGTATAATAAATGACCGCACAAACAAAAATATGAGACGCGAAAAACAGAATATAACCCTACAAATAAACAATAATAATATGACTTCAGAGCCCAAAGAGATAGCTAACATTTTCAATAACTTCTTTGCCTCTATTGGAAAAATTAGTACGAGCTCATCTGGCAATAAACGAAAGGATACATCTAAAATGTCTATAACGGAGAATTCGATTTTTCTGAGTCCAGCAGACCCTTACGAGGTCAATGCATTAATAAAAAACTTAAAAAATAAGTCAAGCTACGGCGTAGATGAACTTCCACCTATATTATTGAGACAATGTGCGGATGAGTTGACTCTTCCATTTTACAAACTGATAAACCAATCCTTCGAGGAAGGTACCTTCCCCAACCTCTTGAAAAAGGCTCTTGTAAAGCCAATACATAAGAAAAATGTAAAAACTGACCCAAATAACTACCGCCCAATCGCTCTTCTACCAACTGCATCAAAGTTATTTGAAAAAGCTATGTGCAAACGTGTCTACGCTTATTGTGAAAAATACAACATATTTAATGACTCTCAAAATGGCTTCAGAAAAAACCGATCCACAACCCTCGCCGTCTATAAATACATACAAGAAGCCCTCGATATTATTAACTCTAAAAAATATGCAATAGGATTACTGCTGGATATGACGAAAGCTTATGATAGAGTACAATATAACATTTTACTTAGCAAACTATATAGCATAGGTATCCGTGGTAAATGTCATGAGTGGTTTGCCTCGTACCTACAACATAGAGAGCAATTAGTAGAAGTGGAATATTTTAATCTAAAAACGAATGAAATAGAATTGTTCCGATCTGAAAACATACCAATAAACGCTTCAATCCCACAGGGTAGCGTAATCGGCTGCTTTCTATTCTTAGTCTACATAAATGATCTCCCCAAGCATATTAGTGAGCCTTGCGTTTTGTTTGCTGATGACATATCCATTCTGGCTTCATGTGATACTAATCTCAACCTTAATGACAAATTAAATTCAATACTTGACGCTACAACTCATTGGATGATGGAACATAATCTAGAAATAAACTATGACAAGACAAAAATAATGACATTCCACCCAAAACAAAAAAAACCTATAAATATAAACTTCACTTTTAAAAATTATAAGTTAGAAACAGTTAATAAATTCACCCTACTAGGACTAGACATAGACACACATGTAAATTGGAAGTCACATATCCAGAAAGTACAAGCAAAATTATCAAAATTCTCATACGCCCTCCGGGAAATCAAAAAAACCACGGACATGAATACTGCTTTGGTAGCATATTACGCGTACGCATATGCTTGGCTCAAGTACGGAGTCATATTATGGGGAAATAGTACGGACTCTCCCACACTATTCAGTCTACAAAAAAAACTAATTAGGATTGTAGTAAATATAGAACAAACGGATAGTTGTAAGCCTCACTTTCAAGAACAAAATATTTTAACCTTACCGTGCCTTTACATCTTCGAGATCTGTAAATTTGTACGTAAATACCCGAACTTGTACTCAAAAAGAGAAGACATTCAAACTAAAATTACTCTAAGACATAAAAATACATTAAACATACCTACATCCCGACTAAAAATGCATTCCTCTAGTACATATGTCATGTCGATAAAAATATATAATAAGTTGCCGGAAGAAATAAGAAACATAAATAAATACAACACCTTTGTTAATAAATTAAAATTATTTCTATTAAGCAAAAGCTATTATAAAGTGAATGAATACCTGAATGAAGGATTATGATAAAATAAGTAATATATATTTTGTTTTTATTTATTATTATTTTTTTTTTGTTTTCTTGTATAATTTAATTTTAATTAGTCTGACATAATTTAATTTCTAACTTTTAAGGATATTGTCATTTTTTTTTTTATTATTATTAATTTTTATTATCTCTATTTTTTGTTGTGTTTCCGAATTTAATTTAATTTTGTTTCAATTATGTTTTAAAAATTTTAATTTGAATTTTAGCTTGTAAGTACTTTGCTGTGCCCTGACAGGGTCTACAACGGCTCTTAGCTATAAGCTTTTATTGTTAACACCACACTACCTTGTAGAACGCAAATAAATGAATATGAATATGAATATGAATATGTTTTGTTAAGGTTGGATGTTCCGATGGCTATTCTGATATTTTAAGTTGAAATTCTCATTTTATAATAATGAAAAGGAATTATAAACAATTAAGTGATAGGATATTGTAATATTCTATCCTAAATCTTCATATACCTAAATTACAAAGCTTTAGATTTTTAAGCAAGCTAGGTTACTATTTTTCTGTCTATAAGACGAAATTCAGGATATCCAAGGCACGCATTATATTAAAAATGTAGTAAAAGCTTGGAAATTATCTAGCTATATGAACTGCGCAATTTTACACCTGCTTTTATGGACGTTTAAAACATTCGCGTTGAAGGAATTATAATGAGTTACAAAGAATAACTAATAACGAATCAATCTTTGTTGTCGTTTGTCAGCGAGTTTTAACTTGATTTTGTGATAACTAATTTCACACATATTCAGAAGCCCCAAATGTCTACAAAACTACACAAGCCAACGGCCATAAATATAATATGTAGCACCAAACCAACGTAGTATTTTATAGGGAAAGCTCGCGAGTCGCCTGCTTTCAGAGTACCCTCGAAGTATCTTGAGCTGCTGAGAGCGAATGCTTGAAACCTTGTTTGGATCTTAGCTTTGGTCTACTATGTCTACAGACTACACAAGACTATATTTGTAGAACGAATATATTTTCTTCAGAGTATGGTGGCAAACAATCAGTATCAATACCAGGTGGAAACTCTCGAATTGCTGTGGAAAGCAACTGTTCTAGGGCGCAACTTAGTTTTTTTACCACATGTATTTGGCACTGAGATTTAATTCGTTATTGAAAAAACTATGTTGATTCATGCAGTAGTATAATAAGTCATGGCATGTTCTTTCTTTTTTAGTTGGTTGAATTCAAGGTGACGTTCATTGTCATTATTGTCAAGAATCAATATCAGTAAATTGTACAAAGTTGAAAACGTGGCATCAACTTGAATAATTTAGCAATCAAAAGGCCGGAGGTCGTCGCAAGTGGGGCGTATTGATTTCATAATGAGTTTTGTCGCCGGCCACCGGGCCGACCGCTTTTATCGTCCATTATAACTAAACATCTACATTTTTTCGCCATTTTCTCAGTCATTAAGTTTATTGACAAATTGAGTGAAAGTAAACAGCTAACTGTTTGCGCGGTCATTTAATTAAAAACCTTTCCATTTTCTGGAAAGGGGGAATTCAAGCTAATAGGCGATTTTGGGGGTTTTATGTGGCTATACAATGGGTACAAGGATAGTCGTTTTTTATACGATTTGCATAAATTCTTATATAAACGTTTACGGAATCATAATAAAATAAAGGGGTGCCTTGCCTACTTAGAAGACCAGTCAAAGAGTTTTACATAGCTACTAAATATCGATTTGCTACACGACACGAGCCAGATTTTAATAATGTTGAAGTAAATTATGATGCTGATGATTCTTTTTTATCTTGCAGGGTTAACAAACTTATGACACGCAAACCATAGGCCACACGCGACAACGCAAATATTGTGGCGAAGGGAATACAAAAGGTTTTATTACAAAATACATTGTAATGTGGTAAGTTCTACCGATTAGGGAGTGAATTTGAAATTGTTAGGGTTGACCACAAAAACACCACTATAAAATTTCGAAAAAAAATAATATAGGTAGGTAGGTAATGATGTATGCAATTAGCGTCAATTGGAACTAATTTTTAGTCAAATCTATTTGGCAACCTTGATGTTTGTTTAGTAGAACAGGTACCAAGTCATTTTTATTTATTTAGTTTTCAATGTCATGATTTGCAGTTTTGTTGTCATGGCGTCATTAATTTACATGCTGAACTATGATTTTTTGGTAACAATTCATGAGGTGAAAAATGCAAAAAAAAGTATTAATTTGTTAGTCAAGTTACTCCTGGTTTATGAGGAACTTGTTCTGTAAGTGTTTATGTGGCATAGGTTTTATTAACACTTGATATTTATATTATATTGCAAATGAGTAGCAATTTTCATTAAAATCAGTGTAGTAATTTTTATGATTTTAAACTTAAGAGTTTGTACGAGAACCCCAGCTTAGGTCATTCTTTATTTATTCAGAAAAAGACTTCAGTAAAGATTATATTGGCAGCCATCCAATATAAGCCTTTGGTACAAACTAGCTCTAGAGTTGAGAGTCCTAGTCCAACTAGACAAAAAGATTCAAGTAGATAAGCCTCGCTGATGAAATGAATTTATTAAAAATACACCTTATCATTCTGTTGACTGACCTTCTTAACATTTGCTAAGATAGGACATTGTCAAAACATTAAAATTATAGCTCTCCAATTCTCTCATTTTCATAGTTACTTTAAGTTTTTTCAAAATTTGTAAAACATAGGACTTGTTTTACTAAGTCTAGCTGCTATGCACTAGATGTTGAAATTGAATGAACTACATTCCCCATAAGTTTATAAAACAAGCCTTTAGTATAATCACTTTTTAATGTATGGTTCATTTACTAATTTTGTCAGATTACAATTTATGGTTATACCTAAAGTATTTAACAATTCATATTTTGCTATATTAAAATTAATGCTTTCTAATTCAAAAATCTCTACTGGGAGAATAGGTACTTAGTGCGTAATTTTATTTAAGCTTTAAACAGTATGTTCTAAGACCAACAACAGAATACAAAAAAACAAATACAAATACAACTTTCATTACCTACCTAATGCAATATTTTTGAAAAAATTATAACATTCATAATTTAATTTACGAATGTACTACTACCAACCTACTTGACCTATGACATAATGTTTGTACTTGACCAAGTAGAAGATAATATAGGCACACACACTCATATCACAAGGTTAATACTGACAACCTAAGATAATTAAAATTTCTAGAAGATCTATCCTTGGCCATAATTTATGAAAGTGCATTTTCTTAAGAAAATATGGTTTTATTGGTAACACACATTGGGTAAATTATACCAAGTAGTAAATAAATATGGGAAAATAACGAGAAGTTGCTCTCACCTTTCCCTTAGTGTTGTGTTGGAGCCCCCAGGCGGCCATAACATAAGGATCGTTGACAGACACGCACACGATCTCATCTACGCCTTCCGACTTGATCTTGTCCGCATTCTGTACATAGCCCGGCAAGTGGGTTTTCGAACAACCTGGGGTAAAAGCGCCAGGAACAGCAAACAGTACTACTGTTTTCCCCGCCGTCAAATCACATACATTCACTTTGTTTGCCGGAGAATCTTCAAACAAATCCGTCACCGGCAGAGATTCACCAACCTAAACACACAATAACATTATTCATCATATATCATACAAGCCGGCTATTATATAAGCTTTAAACACTAAATTCCACAACAATACCTTTATGGGTGCCATGGCTATGTACGAAGTGTGTAACGCTCGACCGATCGCTCGCCTTGACGAAGCAGTTGTAAGACGAAAAATAGTAGTGCCGGTGGGAAACATTTGTAGAAGCGGGTTATGTATTTTTTATTATCTTCGTTTTATCGATCCTTTCAGTCAACAGATGATATTTGCTGACCTTTTGAAATATAAATTAAGACAGATGTTTTTTCGTTCGTTAAGTCCTTTTAAATCTTTTCTTATCGACCAGTACAAAGAGAATTATTCGTAATGAAACCACTCACAGTTCTTTTAGCCTCATTTTGTAATATTATTTATCTTTAAATTGTTTACTTTGGGATACACAATATTAATTAAAGATATTTAAAAACGTCAAGATTTTTAGTTTTTGAACGAATACCATACTTTACCATAGATGAAAACTAAGTTCACTGGACGTCGACATTTAAAAATATGTTACCAGTTAAAAGTGTTAAAACGAATATCACCGAAGTGGCAAAACAAATAAAAGATGAGCTAAGAATATAGCATCTAATTATCTTTTTTCTAAGATGTATGTGATGTTGATAATCATTTGTATGGTGGTTTATAAAATTCAAGGGCTATGCAACAGTTATATACGTCTTTCTAAAATTAAACCCGTTTTTTAAAGGTAAATGGAATATAAGCTATAGCAACATCAGTTGTCTATGGTTCATTTTCAGTCAAGCATTCCTACGACTTTTGCTTGTTTGTTAATTATTTCGAGTTTTTTAGGTCGTTTTCCACGTTTTTAGATATGACAGTGTGTGATATAAGTGTTACGATAGAGTGGCGCTGATATTATAAAGTAAAATACCGGTCTATCAACATGGATGCCCCTACAATGGACACTATTTACCAGGCCATAAGCGCCTTATATGATAACCCCAACGTTGGCGAAAAAGAAAAGGCTTCGCTATGGCTGGGAGATATGCAAAAATCCGTAAGTAACCACCGTTTAATTATGATTAGTTTATCGATGTAATTACGTCAATTTAGAATTGCTGCTTATTATAACCTTATTTACAGATACATTCTTGGAAGATAGCCGACGAACTGTTACAAAAAAGGAAGGATATGAATTCTTGCTATTTTGCTGCCCAAACAATGAGATCAAAAGTGCAACATAACTTGAGTGAACTACCACCTGATTCTCTTGTATCGCTAAGAGACTCTCTGGTGGCACACCTGGAGCTCACATCTCCAGAGACCAGTGCTTCAGTGCTCACTCAACTCTCTCTAGCATTAGCAGACCTAGCTCTCCAAATGCCACAATGGCAGAACTGTATTGGCGACCTTATTAAATCATTTTCCAATAAAAATGATTTTGCCCTTCTAGAAATATTAACTGTATTACCTCAGGAAATTGATTCATCTAGTTTAAAACTTGGTGAAAATAGGAGAGAAGAAATTAAATCAGAATTAAGGTCAAATGCTCATTTGGTAAATTTATTCTTAAAAGAAAGCATCACAAACTTTCAAAATACCCATGTAACATTAAAAGTAATAAAGTGTATGACATCTTGGATACAGGTCAAAGCAATTAATATACAGGAAATTCCTCAGAATGCTGTTATAGGGTACAGTTTACAGATTCTTAGGGATCCTAAAACAATTAATACTTTGCATGATGCAGCATCTGATTGTATTACTGCTTTGTTGCATTGCTTAGAGGAAAATAACAATAATGACAATATTGAGAGACTGTTGTTTGAGAGTGTGTCTGGACTGGAGGAGAGCTACCACATGGCTGTGGCTTATGAGGAAGATGAGAAAGCTACAAACTATGCAAGAATATTCACTGAGCTAGCTGAAACATTTTTAGAAAAGATTATAATTTCTATGTCAGGAGGCTCATCTCATTTTGCCCTGAGGTCCTTGGAATTAGCACTAGTTTGTGTTGGAAACCATGATTATGAGGTAATTAACATTATTAATTTGTTATTTATACAAAACATGTATTGGTCTGCTATGTCTATTGTATAGAAATGAATCATACCAGTAATGTGTCAAACAATATGTATTATATTATTATACTGTCTCAATATCCCAACCAACAAGAAACAACAATGATTTTTCAAAGTTTTGCCAAAGCTTTATAAACTCTCAGTTTTCTTTAGTCTAATAAAGATTATGACAAATTGATGCAAGTAACATAGTAGTAGTATATCAATTAATATTTGTCATGAAATAAAAGTCTGAACAAAAAAAGCAATCTGCAATTAATCAACAGGAAAATAGCAATAAAATTATTATAAAGCCTCTTGAGCCATTATTGTGTAATGATTCATACAGCTATTTTTCTTACTCAATTGATTATTATATTATCATTATCTTGTGAGTTACACATAATAATTATATATTAACTGAATATTTGATCTTATAATACATAAAATGTGTAATGTACTTCATGTTACAATTTTATAATTTCACATTTCTACCCCATTAAAGAAAATACCACATGATAATGGATATACCATGTGGTAATATTAAAAGATTAAAAGTTAGTTAAAATTCAGTGTCAGTCAATTTATATGTATGTGTGCATATAAATTTTGAAACTCTGAATTTGAAACATGAGTCAACCTGGACTACCTCTTTTATTATGTACAAAAAAGCTCCATCCACCAAAAGGTAGCCTGGTAGATGCGATTGGAATAAGAGTACCTTTGTGGCCTATATTGTCTGTAACTCATTTGTTATACCTATGTTACAACTTTCTTTAAGTTGTACAACAAAATTATATTCATACATTATTTGTAATCCTTTTATCTTTCACTTCAAGGTAGCAGAAATAACCTTCAACCTATGGTACAGACTATCGGAGGAAGTGTACCAGAGAGACTACCAGCCTTTGACAGATTCTTTCAAGCCTCACATAGAGAGACTGATTGAAGGACTGGCAAGGCATTGTCAGTGTGAGCCTGATACACAACAGATGTTGGAAGAGGGAGATGAATTCTTTGTAAGTGGAATAAATAGTTATTAAACATTGTCAATGTAGCATAGTTTTCATTTAGTTAAACCTATCCTGATGTTTGTATTTGTGTGAAACAAATAGTGCCCAAGCAGGAGTACCCCCTGAGGCTGTTCACAAGTACAGCAAGGCATTGCTGAAATTGAGTATTGTGTCTTTTGAGATTGAGTATGTCAACATTTTACCTTGTCTTGCAGGAATTCCGCAGTAAAGCAATGGGTCTTATTAAAGATGTGGTGTTCATAGTGGGCTCCAGCTCAGTCTTCCGCCAAATGTTCTCGGTGCTCAATCCTGATATAACTTGGGAACAGACTGAAGCAGCACTCTTCGTCATGCAAGCCGTCGCTAAGAATATATTACCGTAAGTACAATGCGTAGACTGTTACTGGTGATAACAATGCTGACTGACTTAATGAAATAACAATTTATTTTTATTCAATAAAAGTTTAAGGACTATGTTTTTAATGGTTTAACTCTGAATTTTACAGGGAGGAGTACGAGTATGTTCCTAAAGTAGTAGAAGCAATCTTGTCGATGCCTGAAGGCACTCACCTGGCCGTCAGGAAGACGTGCATACTCTTACTGGGGGAGCTGTGCGAGTGGATAGAACGGCATTCCGAGTGCCTCGAACCTTGTCTGCAGTTCCTCACTAGAGCCTTACATGATAAGCAGCTGGCGTACTCTGCCGCTACAGCGTTACAGGTAAGGGATATTAACATCATATAACTTGAATACATAAATAGCGGTAAATAGTAGTGTGACATGCGTCCCCCCGCAGAATATCTGCCGCGCCTGCAGGACGCAGGCGGCGGCGCACGTGTCGGGGCTGCTCCGCGCCGCCGCGGCCGCCGACCAGCTTCCCCTCAACGCGCAGGCCTCCGCCGCGCTCATGCGGGCCCTCGCCTCCGCTATAGGACGACTGCCTAACGAACAGGTAATCGCCGCGTGATTACATTATTGCTAAACAGAAGACAGTGTCCCTCTAGATTAAAGAAATATGAGATGTTTTGTTAAGTCGCCTCTAAGTTAGGCTAGTAGTAGTCACAACTAAACAATAATTTATTGACAATAATTTATTTTGTTTCCCTAGCTAAAACCCGTCTACATAACATATATACTTCTAGCTAACTGTCGCAATGCGTGAGGCTGTCGGCGTTCAGATCAACGGCTTGTCGGAACTGATGAAGTCTAATGTGGAAATAAAGAAAGGTACGAGTAGCGACCCAACCGTCTGGTTGGACCGCATGGCGGCCCTCTTCCGCGACGTGGACGTGCCAAGCTCACAGATCACCGACACGCATCCGTGCGTGCCGGCCTTGTCCGACGCTTGGCCGGTACTGCAGGAAGCATTGGACAAGTAAGTGGGATTACAGATACTTTACTTTTTGCTAAAATTGATGTCTTAGTATCGAAGAAGTGTATTTTTTTTGGTTATGAATAAGAAATTGGTGTAAGAGACGTGGGAGTGTCTAAGATTAATGCGATAACGCATATAACGCGATGAGCGAGGCTCGCTAAGATGGAGCGGCTGGGTGCAGGTACGGCATGGACGGGCGCGTGATGGAGCGGTGGTGCCGCTGCGTGCGGTTCGGGGTGCGGATGGCGGGGCGCGGCGCGGCGGGGCTGGCGCCGGCGCTGGCGGCGCGGCTGCAGGCCGTGTACCGCGCGGCCGCGCACTCGTGCGTGCTGTACCTGGCCTCCGTGCTGCTGGACGAGCTGGCGGCCGCGCCCGCCGCCGTCGCGCCGCTCGTGCAGCTGCTGCAGGACGTCATGCCGCGCGCCTTCCTACTGCTGCAGCAGGACAACGGACTCAAGGAGAACCCTGACACCGTCGATGATCTCTTCAGGCTATGTATCAGGTGGGCACTGCTTTCACTTCGACGCTATACTTCAAGTCTTTTGTCTTATCGTCACAGTAAATCACTAAATAATTATGTAGGAAAAGTTGTAAAGACGCTCGAATTAAATATTTTTTCATATTTTATTGATATTACTCGAATTTTCATTTTTATATCGACATAGTCTGAATTGTATTTTTTTTTTTCATTTATCATTAGCAATTAATTATTAATGGTATGTAAACTTTTTTCTGTACAGATTCTTACAAAGAATCCCACTAGAGTTCCTATCATCGGGCGCACTACCCACAGTGATCCAATGTGCTTCACTGGCGTGTTCCCTCGATCACCGGGAAGCCAACTCTTCCGTCATGAGGTTCCTGTATGACTTCACTAAGGTGGCTAACTCGACAAACGCTGATAAACAACAAATTAAAGGTAAGTACAGTCCTATTAAAACCCAGCCTATGGCCAAACTAGTATTGTTGTACTTTAAAATTAAATTAAACTTTATCTGAGTCTTCACTAAAAATTATTTGAAGTTATAGCAACAATACTTAACGAAAATAATGTATGTTTAACAGCACTAGCAGACAATGCTTTATCTACATACGGCGAGGAGCTGACGTACCGGCTGATAGAGGCGAGCGTGTTCCACCTGCACTCGTACATGCTGGCCGAGGTGGCCGAGGTCCTGCTGGAGCTGCTGGAGTGGCAGCGCGGCGCCGCCCGCGACTGGCTGCAGGCCGCGCTGCAGCGTCTGCCCCGCGACCGCCCCGCCCTCGCCACGCACCAACAGTGCTGGCAGTTCCACCAGTACGCCATGAGGTCTGTGCCCTCTGCCCCTACACAACTATACTTTCTGATACTCAGCTCATTGCTGTGCTAATTATATATCAAGGAAATTAACAAGTGATGTTTCAAACTGTGGTACTACATATCTAGAATAGAACTACAAACTCAATTTTAAATTTTGTTTCTGCAGGGCGGAGAAATGCAAGGAAATGACTCGTCTACTGCGTGACTTCGCGAGATTGTATCGATAGAGTACTAAAGATTTATATTATAAATTAAACCAAACAACAGGACTGAGACTGTGTGACTAACATTTTGACCTTAGCTCAGTGTAATAAGTTCTAAGTACTATCCAGTATGGAGACTAAACTACACTAGTGAAGTGATTCTACTACTTTGTTAGATCAAACTATAATAACTGTATTGTGTAACGACTCATAAAGCTTTAGGTCTGTGACGATTTGTAATAGTAAATATATCACATGCTTATCTGTATCCCTAGATACTTTTGTGATTGTATTTTTAGAAATATAAAAATTACCTTTATAAGTGCTAAATTTCTTTAAGTTAAACTAAATCAATTGTAAAGTGTTCATATACAATATTAAGACTTTAGTGTGTATCAATGTATACAATTCATTTTATCATGGTAACCCAACTAAAACATAGTTAGATAATGTAGGTAGGCAGCTGATGGGCTGAGTATTTATTTCATATCTTAATAATTACCAGGTTTTAATTTCAATAACTGATTGACTTGGTTGTCTTTACTGATAAACCTTTCTTTGTTTGAATTGTCTATCTGTCACAGTCGTCACAAGATCTAGAGTGTATTTATCATATTGTACTGTGTAGTTAGTAGATGGTGCAGCTAGCACATCTGAGCAATAATAAATACGTATTGTAGAGTTCTACAATGTCGTAGGTATATCGTAATGCCTATTAAATTTCTTGATTACACTTGGTACGAAGTTGCGTTCTCTCATAGTTGCAAAAATGGAAATGTTAATTTATAACAGCTTTATAACTTGACCATTGTGCTACATACTCACAAGTATTGTAAAAAGCGTATTATAGTAACGTTTTACTAAAATAATATTCATGATAGTAATCTATCAGTTGGAATTATCTTGACGTTGACAATAACGGGATCCACTGTCTGTACTATTAGAGGACGTAACTAAAGGAACACTAAAATGATTTGCGATCAAACACGTCGCCGTCGTAACGTCAGTCCGATCAGTAGGTAAGTATCAACTTTGGATTGATGCAGATATATTTTGTTATATTATACTCACTTTTATTTTGAATGTGATACTACGCATTGAATTGTAAATATTTATTATAAATGTTTACTTTTACACACGTCTTTTATTTACAAAAAATATCATCATACATTATACATTTTGATCCTTATTTATTAAAATAGAAATAACAATGTCGGGAATAAGAAACATGAGGATAGGATAAGATGTCGAAGCACGTTCACTATTGCGGTAAGAACGAGGGGCAAGGCTATTCTAAATGTAATTAAAAATGTGCAATTAATTAAAATAAACTTTACTAATACTTTCAAAGTTAAAATGTTTCATCAATTCAACCAAATTCATTTTCTTCATAATATGTTTACCAGTTTCGTCAAAACATTCTATATGATTGAGAACTCACAACCTTACATATTTTTCAACTCTATTTCTTTTTAGCATTCTTAGGGCTTGACAGTGTGACGAAACTAACACGCCGTGGAGCTTTCGGGCTTGGAGCAGACTTAACAGCTTGGTCTTTGACATCAGTCACTTTAGCTTGCTTCAAGAAATAGTTTTCTACTGAACTCTTAGGAGTACTTGGCTGACTTGTGCTTTTGGCATTACTACTAGTAGGTGTGCCAAGTAACATTTTAGCAGTTTCTTCAGTCTTATTCGATTTCGGAGAGCTCTGTTCGGGACTTTTCTCAGTAACAGTTTTCACTGAGGTTTTGGGTGAATCTGGTGATGTTGATGTAGATTTGGCCCCTTCAGTTTCTTCATACACTAATTTGATGTCTTCACTATCATCTACAATCATTGCTTCTGGTTCTTTAGGTTTAATAATTTCAGTGTTACTGTTATCTGACCATGATGGCATAGCCACTTCTTCCAGCACATCGATTTTGACTGGTGTTTTTGGTTGTGGTTCAGTTTTCTGTTTCTTTGGGGATTTTTCTGGCGCCTTAAACTTGATGAATGAGTCTATCTTGCCAGCTGCTTTTGTTTCTTTGATTTGCGGTTTCTCTACTTCAGCTTTTGGCGTTTCCGCTTGTTGTTCTTCAGTTTCCATAGGTTCTATGAAATAATTAATTTATTTTTGAAAATAGGTCATAAAAAGCAGCAGAAGTAGAAAGAATAAGTATTTAAGTTATCCATCATTATAGAAATAAACGCCATAAAGACATAATAAATTCTATGTGATAATTACCTGGTGCTGGAGTACTGGTAGGTTCGGGAGCTACTTCTTCAGGCAGTACCTCTCCCAGCTCTCCCTCAGCAAAGGTAATGACGGAGCAGTAACCGTCAGTACTGGAAGCGACCAGCGTGCGCCCATCCCGAGACCATGTCAGATCTGTTAGCCTGTGCAGAAATAATATGGCGTACATTTATGCATGAATAATAAATAATAAAATAAAAATGGTTTATTGAACAAAAACACAACTATGACATACATAATAGGGTGAAGCGAAAAATAATAATTTTGGATTATGATAACCTAATAGGGTGAAAAGAGTGCCTTTAGGGTTTATTTTAATCTATACAACATATTATTAGATTTGGTACAGGATTATTGCTTCCGCCAGGTTGTTGAACTTTTGGAAAAAGTAATTTCAGACTCATGTTTGAGCGAAAACTACATAAAAGCATGTTTGAATTCAAAGTAAAAAGCAGCAATTTACGGCGCGTCAAAATGCACTTTGCGTATAGTATCCTAGAAGTATCCTAGAGCCATAGAAAGAAAGAAAATATTTATTTGTGAGAATGTAGTACAAATATAGGTGTTTGTGTTATGTGTATGGAATCTCACACATTCTACCGAATTGGTGTACAAATTATTTCGCTTAATATCTAGTTATAACTACGCACTACTTATTCTAAGTCTATGATAGGTCATCTAAATAATCTTTAGTGCAATAATAACATTTATTTAGCAAAAACTCAAACAATTTTCTTTTAAAAGACATTAGGTTAAGATTTTTTAGGTCATTTGGAAGTTTATTGTAAATTTTGATAGCCATGCAATATGAGTTTCTGCTATATAATGTTGTGTATTGGCTCGGTACAAATAATTTATCAGGGTATCTACTATTTCTACTAGTAAGTTTCATACTAACCTTGTGTAATGTATATTGTTGATGAGGGCAATAGGAGTTTTCTGCTGTGTGTCATATAGCAGTACGGATCGCTTAGTACCTATTGCTAGTATCATGCGGCGTGGGGAGGGGAAGGCGGGGGCTGGGCCTCCCTCGCGAAGACCATATAGGCGAGGAGACCAGCGCGTTACCAGTGCTGCCTCGCCGCATGGCAGAATACATGCTGGACTGCAATATATAATGTAACATTGAATTGTGTTTCATAGATCTATGAAAATATCTAGTATTATCGCCTTAGATCACATACAGTTTGACTGTCTGTATCTTCTTATAGATAAAAGTGGTGATGGTGAGAATATATTTTTTTATGTTACTACAAACTTTATTTATGTGGTAGATTTTTCAGGGACTACATATTTTCTGTTATAGTTATTATTATGTATTCTACTCACACTTTCAAAGAGTATCTTGTATAGATGTAGACAGCATTAATAGGTTTGATGTCCACTTTGCCTTGCTCAGGCTCTATGCGGCCTGATGGTACTGCCAGCAGTAGGCCATCTGGACTGAATTGGAGTCTCCTGTAAATGGACGAGAGAGATAAAGAGAGAGGTACAAAAAATTCACAATAGAAAAAGTTGCTACAATTTGGGGTCTATTGTGTGGAGAGTTTCTGAGTAGGTTATTTATGTAAGTTATGAACTAGATTGCTTAACTTGCCTGTAGTATGTTTGCAATGTGTCATCATGATAAAGCCTGACTTTAACATCATGTAGAGGATGTTCAGAAGGGAAGGGTAAGATTGCCTTACTGCTGCGCGATGTCACCTTCTTTGAAGACACATCAAATGTGCGGAATACTCTGGAACATTATTATTTAAAGATATATTATTAGCATAAACTACAACCTGAATAGTAATTGGACAGGTATGTGTAAATAAAGATTTCTCATTTGTTAATATAGATTAGGAACACTTTATTTTATAGTAATAGCTTTGTAAGCTTCATTCCAATTTCATTCCAACAATTATTCTAGCTGACCTAAAAAAAAGTAGTAAATATTTTTTTCTATAAACATTAAGGTCAGCATTACAAAGATATCAATTTGTAACTAACACCATTACTTTACTACTCACCTATCAGAACTAGCAGTAGCAATCATTTGGTTCTTGGGGTCCCATGAGACTCCTTGTACAAATCCTTTATGGTCAGTCAATATACTGCTGTACTTCCCTTTGTTCAGGTCCCATATGAGGAGCTTGTTGTCCACTGAGCCAGAGGCAAGGTGAAGGGAGTTGGCACTCCAGGAAATATCTAAAATATCCTCCATGTGACCTCTTAGGGTCTGGAAATACAAATTACGAAAGGTAGTGGATTGAACTGAAATTTCTGCTGTAGATGGAATCATCTTTAATATAAATATAGTCATGTGGAGGTTAAAATGTAGTGTGGGTGAGATTAAAACTGTGTATATTGGTATGTGACACAATATTATGCACTTACAATGCCAAGCCCTTACAAATAATAAAATGGGGTTCAAAGCAATCTTATTAGTCTTATTTTATTTATTTAATAAATATGTACACACAAACAGTACAGAGGAAAATACATAAATAAAATAAGAGTACATCTTTCAACTTTACTAAGGGTAATTAACTTGATATTTGTTTGTTGTTGTCAACCTACCTTGTGAATAACCCAGGATTCTTTATACTGCTCTTCACTCTGTTCCATTACCGGTGCAGGCTCTTTGTCAGTCTTTTTCCAAATAAATATTATGGACTCATCGTCACCTGATGCCAAAAACTGGCCGTTAGGCGACCACCGCACTACGTTGACTGCTTTCTGGTGGCGAGTCAAGTCAGCTGCAACTTCTAAATTAACTGAGCCTGTGTCTGTTGTTGAAATATACCAGATCTGAAAAAGCAATTATGTGATCTAGAATGGATTAAGGATTAATTTGTGGGTGATATTGGCGAAAAAAAGATTGGTTGAAAAAAAAAACGAAGTTGAAACTACTCAAACTAGTCGTTTCGGAGCTTTTTGTAAGAAATAAATGTTATCTTTGATGAACAATATTACATATGTTCTCTTTCAGTAGTTAAAAGTTTAATTGTTGTCTCATAATCTCATTACATACCAAAACATGAGAATCAGTCCCTCCAGTTGCGAGCCGTAAAGGTTCAGTTGCGTCTGCCTTTGGCTGAAAATCTACACTCAATACGGGATCCCTGTTATGCCAAGATATTTCAGGGATAGCGAACTTCATATTTTCACTTTATATTAACACGTTACAATTAATAAATACGTTTCTGAGAGCACTTGTCTATTTTGGCGCTAAAATACTGTTTTCTTTTTATTTTGACAATACCTACCTTGACAAAATGACAAGAAACGTTTTGTAACTAGTCTTCACAGATACACTTGGTGTTTTTCTAAAAAAACATATATAAACCACAACTTGTGCCACCCATGGACATTTCGTAATACAAAAGGAGTTACTGCAACTACTGTGCGTAACCGGCCTCTTGTGGGTTATGTAAGGGATTTAAGGATAAGGGATTTGAGGATTGAGCACAGTGTTAGGTTGCTTCACGCCGGTTTTCTATGAGACCGTGGTATCAAGCCGGTCCATTCATGCGGAAGCAAAGTACTACAACACTTGAATACTGTAAGCTATTCTTGATCAAGAGACTATGGAATTTGAAAAAATACGCTTTTTTTAGTAGTATCATACAATATTTCATAATGTGCCAAAAATACAACTGAAGTTATAATTTTTTTATGCTTCCCTTATTTGAGGGTTGCCAGACTGTTTGACGACAAACTTTTATGTTGGCAATAATCATTATATTGTCATATCAAAACTGACAGCGGCTCTTTCTTTCTTTGACGTTTGTTGATATCGTGCTATACGAACGCCAAAATGGTTTGTGTTTTATCAAATTATATCCAATTGAATCTTAAAATATAGTAATAAATTCAAACTAATTAATAGTGAAAATCTCATGTGATGTGCCTAAAATGTGAACGAGAGAAATATTTCATGGTGAACTTTAATATTTTCAGGTGAACGTACCAAAACAGCGCAGAACCTACTGCAAAAAATGCAAGTGCCACAAAACTCACAAGGTGTCTCAGTACAAAAAGTCCAAGGAAAGGCACGCTGCTCAGGGTAGGAGACGTTATGACCGTAAACAGCAAGGTTATGGTGGTCAATCCAAGCCTATCTTCAAGAAGAAGGTAAGCGAAAATAACCTACGAACCGGGTTTTTATCACAAATACTCCATTTATAGTATTTTGTCTCATTTAAAATAGAATTGAATTGAAAACATATGTATAAAATCTAGCCAGTTGTTTACAGTGCTTGTGAATTTTGACAAAGAAAGTGTCGTTTTGTATGGCACTCACTTTGTTGTACATGAGCTCACATTTTTCTACACCCTTTAGTATTCGCCACTCAGACTACCTACAGACTAATAATTTGTAAATCTACATCACTGGTAGACATAACAAATAAAGTGTACAAATAAAACAAAAATATTGTGTAATGAAGCTGTAGGGATACTAAACCGTTATATGTTTCAAGAATTAAAAGTAATATTCTCTTTTCTTATTTATTGTTGATTCTCTGAACCTAATGAAATTTTTAATTACAGGCGAAAACCACAAAGAAAATTGTGCTCCGTCTGGAGTGTGCCGACTGCAAAGTGAGGTCACAGGTAGCACTCAAGCGCTGCAAGCACTTCGAGCTGGGAGGAGACAAGAAGAGGAAGGGACAGATGATTCAGTTCTAGGCTGGATAATAAATAAGTTTAACTAACATTTACTTCTTTTATTTTTCAACCCTTTGTAAGGCTTCAAGTTTATTGATTATTATTGATGGACATACTATTTTCAGTTTCTAGTGATCATGTCTTTAGGCACTATCATTATCCTGCAATATTCTGAATATTACTTTCTTGTTTTTTATATAATTTGAAGGCTACTACATAGTCTTTGTGAAAGAAAATAGTCAGTGCAATGTCATTGGAGTATTTCCATTACATGTATTCTTTTGAAATTAATGTTAGATCAGCTCAGAATAAACATTTGTGTGGGTTAGCTCCTACTTGTGTTAGTAGGTACACCAATCTTGATCTTAAGATAAAAAATATTAAAATAACATTTTATTAAAATTATTATACTTCAGATTTTTATTATGTTTCACATACTATGTACAATCCAGTAACAAAACTTTAAAGCTGTTGCTAGCTCATATAAACAGGTATAGGCCATAAATGGTAAAAACTAAATCAATTATTTATATGCAATTAATGTTCTGAGCTTATTTCCCTAAAATCTCATCTAAAATATTAGGATCTAATCCTTCCAATGATAATTTTAATTTCACAGCTTGTAATGGTACTCCAACTTGAACCATCTTCACAAATCTATCATATTCAGGGTGTGAAGGTTTGTCTTCTATGGTTTCCACGGTTTCACTTGAAGTCTCTGCATTCTTTGAATCTTGGACAGGTGCTACAGTGTGTGATTCTAATGGAGTTTCTTCACTAGACTTTGCCTCTGTGACATCAGGAGTCTTCTGAACTGTTGTTTGTGTCACTGTATTCAATTCTGGTATGGATGACAGCTGGAAAATTTAAGTTTACCAATAAACAGTTTTAAGCTCCGAGCATGAGATCACTGGGAATATCTAAGAAGAAGCGTCTACTTACTCTGGCCTCCAATAAAACCATGGCAGCGTTAACTTTCTCCAGCTTCTTGTCAAAATCCATTAGTTTCTGTTCACATCTTTTCATAAAATTGTTAAGAAACTGCACATTCGTAAGAACAAAATGATTCACAAAAGCCAGTGTTCGCTTCTGTTGTAAAGCTGCTACCTACAAGTTGATAAAATGTTGAGTAAGGCTTAATATCACCATTGACATGCTCTAAGTTTCACGGAAGGTTTAGCTTTTGAGTTACCCACTCACCTTTGATAAATCTACATTAGCCAGTTCCTGACTGATCATAGTTTCCTGTAGAGTCATTTTCTTTTACATACAGTAGGTATTTAAATACTAAAATGTGTAAAGCTTATAAGTAGTACCTATTTTATACTTTGTAAGCCGTATTACGGGTTTTAGAACTACAACTAAATAAATATAATTTTAAATATCGGAATATAAGGTTTTGGAATTATCGGCTCAAAATTAAAAATAATGAAAACTTTGAGATTACTTTTGCAAAACAAATCTAACAAGACACGAAAACCAATGCTCTTTGCGTCAATGTCATGTCATTGTCAAATTGTTAATTTGTTATATAGTATTCGCAAAGACCTTGTACTTAAAACTAGACTGTGCACCAAATTTTTTTGTTTAGCTAAAATGTGCTTTATCCCGTTACGTATAGGGTAGCTATTTTCTTAAAAGCGTTAACAAACTAAAACCGGTCCCGGCGAGAGGGCTCCTCACGGTAGTGTGTCCTTGTCTCACATCTTGCCAGCTCAACTAACCTTAGGGGTTGGTAGAAATGGTAGAAAATTAAATATAATTATGTTTTATGTTTTAACAAAACAAACAATTCATAAACTACAAAACGTATATAAATGTCTTTATAGTCCTTAAAATTAATAGTCAATTTGCGGTATTATACGAAAAATCATTAATACAGAGTAAACAGTAGTACTTGAATGTTTGTGTTTGGTAACAATTAATGCAAGATGGCGGTTTGCTGATTTCGGGTTAGGGTAACAATGAATTTTCTCGATCAAAGATTTTCTTACTATATCGCAGTAGATACGACTAACTGTTTTTGTCCTTTGTGTCCTTTTCATTTTTTATTTTATTATTTTAAAGAACTTGTTAATACCAATGATATTATAAGTAAACAGGTGTAAATAGGTTATAAGTGTCCAGTAAGTGTTACATTAAAATGTGGTGCAATGTAGAAGCAAATACGAGACGTGTAAGCTGGACGATCGTCTTTAATTAAGTGTATATACCTAATAACTTACACTACTTATGGGGAGAGATCTCACACACTACACCTTCCCCGTTTTTTAGAAAGTAAAAAATACAGCCTAAAATACATTATTTCTTATAATAAAAACTTAATAAACATTTACTTTAAATATTCGCACTGTTGACAATTACTTATATAATAGAATTTTTAAATGTTTTATAGAATTAGATAAAGTAACGTAAAAAATAATGCTTACCAAGCTTGTCAGAAAACAAAATTGTAATTATATTAATCTGAGGCTTCAACATGTGTTCAATGTAGTAAAGTATATAGAAAAACTTTTTTTGGTAATCTCTCCTGATTTACAGAGCTTGAATATAAATAAATGCTTAATATGATAGTACACCAATTCACCCCTAAAATTAAGCACCTTTTGCCTGCCCATCCAGCATCTGACGAATCCCACGAATTGGAACTGATTTAATGTATTGATAAAAAAAAACTTAAATTTAAGACATAAAAGCTACGGGAAGACTATAAGCCTCAAGCATGTAGGAAATAGGGCTACATTATGACAAAAATTGCGTAAAACTGTATTGTTTAGCAATGTATAAAAATAAATCAATATTAAAAGAAAACAGTCTTTTTCATTCCACAATACTGCATCACATTCATTTGCCCTAACACTCATTTAATAATAATTATTGAGATGATGAGGAGGATTATAATCCTCCTCATCATCTTCGCAAATGTTATCCCGGTTACATATGCTAAGCTTTCACCTAGGAGCTTGCCAAGGTTCGCCGAATACGATCTTGGAGTGGTGAGTCTGATAATTACAGTAAAGCGATTGCCATCTGACTTTCGTAGCCACAAGGGGAATCAGACAAATTTTTCGGATAATGGTTAAACAATCAGCCAACCTCACGGTGTATTCCCTCGCCGAAATCATCATTTTCCTGTAGGTAATATTAATATGATGGTGGGAATATATCACTTTTAAAAGTAGAAAAAAGTACTTTCAACCCTTACCCACGTGTACAGATTACTATATAAATACTTACTTACTTTACTTACAGGTTCTGTAGATTTAAAAAAGTAATTTTTAACAAAAAAAAACCGACTTCCAAAATTTATTTTTTGCTTTTTAGTTTCGTTATTTTGGAAGTCGGTTTTTTTGTTAAAAAATATTTTATTTTAAGTGATAGGCAGAAAAAGCTAGCATGCTTCTCGAAAGAGAAGACGACGGCTATTTGAGACCGAAAATCACGGTAATAATAGTCCTGAGTTAGTCAGCTTTGAATGCTGTAAATCGTTGAGGAATTCCCTCAAATGTCAATGACTTCCATCATCAGGTATACTGCAGACCTTCATTATACACAATCCATATAGGTGCAAAGTTCTCATCAATATAAATGAATTAAGTCCAAACAGGAGGTAGTTACTGAAAACCGTTCTGGAGTTCCCTGAGTTGTCTTTCATTCTCATCATCAGACCCTTAATGACATTCACGACCAATCTTGGTGAAAAGTGCTCATCAATACGAATCATTCAAGCCCAAACACAAGGCAACTACTCCAAATAGTCAAGGAGATCCCTCGATTGTCTTCCGGCTCCATCATCAGGTCGAGTTCGAACATCGGCAAGTTGTAGCGTTGTCAAAAGCCTACTAAAACCACATGCAAAAGCACCACTCGTACCTTCAATTTTTGAAAGTTCTCAATTTCTCTGGTCTTCCATCATCAGATCCTGATTTCCTTATCATGGGACCATTTTAAAACTATCTCCTTGCCAACAAAAAAAGAATTATCAAAATCGGTTCATTAATAACGGAGATATCGGCGAACAAACATAAAAAAGCATATATATATATATATGGTTGAATTGAGAACCATCCTCCTTTTTGGAAGTCGAGTAAAAATATACACACGTTTTGGATTGTTGGTTTTTTCTTACAAAAAATTAGGTTGGTGAAGTTACGCTAGTTTGGTAGTATCAATATATCATGATACTTAAATAATCGTTTTTACAAGCAATTTGTCCCGTATTCTGTTTGGTCATGGTCACTACATTAGAAAGGGACACACTACCATCGGGAGCTGTCTCGCACCGGCTCGGTTTTTGCGCCTTAGTGCACAGTCTAGTTTAGAGTATAAGGTCTTTGAGTATTCGTAATAAAACGGTGCTTGCGACCTTTTAAGTACAAAAATATTTATAGTATGAATTTCATTCTATTTTATTTTATGTAGAAGTCCTCATTCTTTCATACTTTATTCATCATTTTATAAGAAAAATCGCTAATACAGAGTACATTGGACTTAATTTCACCAAAATTCGTACTAAAAAGCCCGCTTGTCAGGTACGCAACTGTAACTTAATGTTTTTAAAAGCACAACCAACATAATCTATGAATACAATTATTTGTCAACAAAGATCACAAAGATCAAGTCCGCACTTATTTAAGAAATAGAAAGCATTCATAAAATATGTCTGGAGAAGTTGTAGTAGACGCGTTACCATACATCGACCAGGGTTATGATGACCCAGGAGTCAGGGAAGCTGTAAGTATTTAAATATAACCTTAAATATCTCTCACTTTTACACATTACTAGATATATTTTATATTATTCACGTTTTAGGCCCTGGCTATGGTAGAAGAAGAATGTAGAAGATACAGACCGACTAAGAATTATCTAGAAAATGCTGGTCCTGAACCCAGTACAGCATTTGAGACCCCAGCTTTACAGAGAGAAATGGAGAGGGTCCAGCAACGACTTCCCATGGAGCCGTTATCTATGAAACGGTAACTGAATAGTTTTAGTTATTTATGTGGGTAATAACACGATTACTTTTCACCGAAAGAAATGTTTTTAGTAAAAATTGTTTTTGGTGTATGGTGTAGTTGTCATAAGTGTCAATCACTTCCTCACAATACCCACTCCTTAGGTAGATACTAGCCTTAATGCTTAGTAATTTACAAAATTATTTTTATTCAATGACAAACTTCAAGCTGTTGATTCTAGACAAATTCTATAAACAAATAAAATGGCAATAGTACAATAGGAAATTCTAGTAATCAAAGATGTATGTGACTGAGAAAGACTAATTTTATGTAAGTAGGTAGAATACACCACCAAATACATTTTCAACTTAAAATGTACTTGATGTTAGTCCACCAAATTGTCAAATTGAACACTGGTCCACATACTAATTCTGTATTTATAATAACCAACCATTAATATCAAACTTCTGCAGTTATGAGTTGCCCCCACCTCCAGCAGGGCGTCTGGGTGAACCAACAGCCTGGGCAGAGTCAGTGGACAACTCCCATGCACAACTGTCCCACCAAGCTATCAGAGTGCTCAATTTGGAGCTACAACTACAGTACGGATCAGAAGCTTGGCGGTCCTACCTCAACACATTGCAAGCACTTGTCACTCGGTCACAGAATGTGCACAGTCAGTTAAGGTAAGTATTGCTTTAGTGGTTCTGTCTGTAACTTGATAGTTTTAATAGAATTGTACATAAGGAGATGGCCATACTTCGCATACTTTAGCAGAAAAAGTCCAATTGTCAAGGCACCTTTTATTGCTTACCATCTGAGCTTGCCTGCTCATTAGACCTCCACCATTCATAATGATTTTTAGTATGCTTACTGATATCTTAAATTGTTAGTAGCAAATTGGGTAAAAATATGCCCTTGCATGCCAACAAAGTGTGACAACTCATATATATGTAGAGTGTTATCATATGTAGATTAACAATAATTAAACACAGAGTATATGAAACAAATTTCTTATGTACTTACATTTTAATTAATTTTTTTAGGAAACAAATAGCATCTGTGAACTGGGAGAGAAAACGTTCACAAACTGCGAGTGGTGCGAGACTAAGAGCATTGAGAAGGAGATGGGCTCAGCTCGTATCAGACAACTACCGGCTTGAACGCGCTATTATGCAGCTCGAGATACAGCTACAGAAGGTAAATGCATCAAAATTACTAGAGCTATTTAACATTATTGAAAAAACTAACTTTGCCCGCGACTTTGTTCGCGTGGAGTAGAGACTTGCTGCAGTTTTTTGTTTAAAAAAATGTTGTCCAATGTCCTTTCTTGAGTTCCGAACTATGTTTGTACTAAATTTCACATAAATAGGTTTATTAGTTTAGGCGTGAAGAAAAGGCAGACAGACAAACAGAGTTATTTTCAGAAAAGCTCTACTAGCTTTAAGTAATACCGGTATTCATATTCATGAGCATTGTCCGCTGTGAACGTCGCAAACGTGACTAAAAACTACTACTAACCATCAATAATTTTGTGTCTCACGAAAACATTACGCTAAGACAACACAAGCAGAAACTCGTAAACCTACTCTCTGATTTAATGTCTATGAACAAGTGATAAGATTAAACGTGCCCCTTATCTTTTCTAGGCTAAGGGTGAAGCACCTGCTGACGATGGTGAACCAGCAGACCTGGAATCCGTCAAGAACCTGCCAGACAAACTTAATTCGGAATCGGAGAAAGAAGTCCAAAAGAAGATTGAGGACATGTTTGCAGATTAGAGAAATCCATTGTAAAGCACTGAATATTTTTATTATTGTAATAAAATCTTTAAAAAAATATACCGTAATTAAGCGAAATAAAATAAATTGGTAAATATATTCAAGTTTTATTTAAGTGTTCAGCAAGCACACGCTGTGCAACGTGACACGTAACGAGTATTCGGCCGAGAGCAAGCGACTCTCGTAAGCTCGGTCACGGCGATGTATGATCAAGTCATTAGTTGTTAGGTGTAATCCATTACCACAAATGTGGTGAAATATGTATGCAAAAGAAGTTTCTAGAGAACAATATTAGGGGTAGTTCGGCAAATGAGCTGGCGTATCACCTGATTATAAGGAATCAAAAAAGCCCATGGACACCCCACACACACACAAGTGGGTTGCCTGTCTTTTGTAGATTTAAGCGGTTTTGAAGATTAAGTACCGTTTTTTTTTTGTGGGCGCGATCAAATGACTTCTTTCGCCCAGGGGGAGGTTTTGTCAAAAACGAACCCCCCTCCTATCTCCTATATCGGGTGCCAGATCCCCACCCTGGGACCTAGAGGCGAAGGAGGAAGAGCGAGCTCGGGGCTCAACATCGATGCAGCGGCAGTTCGCGCTGCGCTGAGAGGAACTCCACCAGGTCTTGGTGGTGGAATGGCGGCAAAGGCTTCTGTGCCCTACCGTCGGCCTCACTACCGTCGAGGCGATCCGGCCAGGACTCGCACGAATGACTCGGAAGATGGCACGGCTCCCTGTCGTTTAGCGTGACGCAGATGCTGTCGGGGCACGGGTGCTTCGGAAAGTACCTCTGTTGCATAGACAGGGAGCCGGACAATCAGTGCCACCACTGCGTCCATTGCGGGAAGGACACGGCGCAACACACGCTCTCCGAGTGTGTAGCTTCCCCCAAGCTACACACTCGGAGAGCGTGTGTAAAAATGCACAAAGCAGTGCTGTGTAAAAATGAAGTAGGTCGCTGTCGACCGTGGTGCGGATGATGGCTGACAGCGCAGAGTCGTGGGACGCAGTACAGTCCTTTTGCGAGGAAGTGATGTCGCAGAAGGAAGCTGCGGAATGGGAGACGGAGATCTCGACTCCCTTTACCGGTCGCAGAAGGCGCACCGGGCGCAGGAAAAGGGTTGATGACGCCCTTTTCCTGAAGAATGAAGCCAGTTGGGGACTTGAGGAAGTCCCCAATTGGCTTCATCTAGTTTTTCACATGTCATATAAATTGACGTGTAAAAGTGCCGTTTTATGGCCTATTTGCAAAAATAAATTACAAATTACATAAATAGCAACACTTTGCATTCTTGAAGTTATAGAAAACCAAGCTATGCAAACGCACTTTATACGTTGTCTGAATTTCGGAGTAGAATTGGAATAAGGATTTATTTCTGAACGCACTAATTTATTTGTAAGTGCGATTGTCATTTATTTGTCTTGATATGTCATTTTAGTTTTTATTTTATTTAAAAATGGCGGACGATGCTTCAAGCAGTAGCGGTTGCGCCGGCAATTTAATAGATAACTCAATAAATCAAGATGAGTTGATTATGAAACAACAACGGGAGATAGAGAAAGAGGTAAGCATTAAACAAATACATACTGGAAGTACAAACACATTTTCTATTTTCCTTAAAGTTTAAAGCTAACTTTGACATTGTGTTGTGTTTGTTTTGCAGATATCTGAAACGATACCGCTTGTAGGCGAACTTGAAGCATTGTCGTCGCTAGAAAAAGAATATAATGAGGATCCCGTGTACCTGTTAAAAGTAAAAGATTTGTCGTCTAAATATAAGTATATTAGGAGAACACGGCCGGACGGCAACTGTTTCTTCCGAGCGTTCTCATACGCGTATTTAGAACACCTACTGACGGATAAGAGTGAATTTGATAAGTTTTATGAAATAGCGAAAAATTCTAAGGAAATTCTTGTCGCCTTAGGTTTTTCACAGTTCACAGTGGAAGATTTTTATGAAACGGTGAGATTTTTTTATTTTTATTTTTGGAGGTTAGTTGTGTTTTTGTTGTTGTGAGTAATGTGTAGGTAGAAGGAAATCCTGGTGTCGGTATAAAGACTAAAATGTTTTCCAAAAGACTGTGACAGTGACATTTCTTGTGATAATGAATATTTTAAAGCTATCCATGAACATGAAGATATTTGCTCTTCTAATTAAAGCAACAAGGTTGGGATTGATAACTAATACTATGACACACTAATTAATGCATAAGACAATTGACTATAAAGTTTTTTATTTCAGTTTATGGAAGTTGTGCAGCGGGTGGGGGAACAAGCAGGAGGGTCCCAAGATTCTCTGGAATCAGTTAGGGCTGAGTTGCATGATAAGTTCAATAAACAAGGCTATTCTGACTATATAGTGGTGTACTTGCGTCTTGTCACATCGGGACAGCTGCAGACAGAGAATGATTTCTATCAGAATTTCATTGAGGGACCACGCACTGTAACTGAGTTCTGCAGACAGGTATGTGATGTATTGAAAACTTCTCTTATTTTGAAATAAACTGAAAAGCAAGTTGTAGTAATAAGATAATTTCTATGTTTACAGGAAGTAGAACCGATGTACAAGGAGTCAGACCATATCCATATAATAGCACTGAGCAATGCATTGAATGTTGGGGTAAGAGTGAAATACATGGATCGCGGCGAGGGAAGTCAGGTTAGTAAGGTACACATCACATTGCATTATAAATATACATTGTTTTACTAGATCACTGTTTCTTAAACAAAGGAATTGCAACTTGCTAAGTCAGATTGAGCTAGATGATCAACTCTACTGGCAGATTAATCCCACTAATGAAAAGTATGTAATATCTTTTATTCATGTATTTCAATGTAAGTTTACTGGGTTAATAAATTAATAATACATATGCTTTGCAGGTCATAGCTCACGACTTTCCCGAGGGTTCGAAGCCACTGGTGCACTTACTCTATCGCCCTGGACACTACGATATACTGTACGCGTGATCATGATAGCACCTCCAATAACCTCTTACGATAATAAAGTTAATTATCTTACATACAAATCGAGTTTCTATTCTCACCATTCTTCTTTATATTTTCTGTCTGTAAGCAGCTTATTTATTTTGGATGTTTCTAAACATCCCCGATACGAAAGAAATCATCGGGCGATACTTGCAAAATTGATCTTGGTCTACACGCAACGATTAGCCGTAGCAAGTATTATATCTGAGAAAAATATAAAGGCGCAAGCATGTGCCAACGTGAATGCGTGTTTCCTTAGTCTCTAGATAAAATGGTGGACCACTGAGAATCTAACATAGCAATAATTACTTCTCTTGCCAGATGGGGAGGGGGGAATTCCGAATTCAATCTAAAACGAGACCTCGAGGGTACAGCTGAAAACAATATTCATGTGGTTAGATAAATAAATGTAAAATTATCACAAAATTGAATATATTGAGAATTCAATAACCATCAATCACGCATTACATTACTAAGGAGGAATGCGGTCACAGAATCACAAATTAAAAAACATACAAAATAATGCTTAATACTAATTTTATCTGCAAAAATAAACACCGTCAGGTTCACGACGTGGTTTCATTCCGGCGAAAAATGCTCTAATGTCTTCCTCCTTTACAATTTCTTTCCTGTCTTTAAAACTCTTAAGGAAGTCAAGCAACTTGTCTCTCATTTTATTGTACTCTGTAAGGGCATTTATTTGTTGTATTCTGTCTAATGAAGAGAGTGCTTCCAGACCTTTCTCATATTGTGAGGCTCCTCCTGCTGCGTTCTCCTTCCCCAAACTTTCGTAGGCAAAAACAGTGTCCTCCAAGTCAGTAAGAAACAGTACTTTTAGGTCTTTGTACATTGAAAGACATTCATTACAAGTACACAACTTTTGGCGGAAGTTGGATGGCCAGAATGTAGCACCCTTGTGAACTCTTTTCACTCCCTTAGGTCTCAAACATTCCAATTTAGTTTTTTTCGGTGAAACATCTGTAAAATCGGTGCTTAGTTTTCTTTTTTGTTCCTTAGTGTTTTCTTTTTTGTTATCATTTTCGTTGTCTTCCTTATTATTTTTCTTGTCTTTGTCTTGGCTCATTTCTTCAGAATTTTCAGTAGTGTTTGCTGGAGATTCTTTGTCAAGCTTATCTCCATTCATTTCAGTTTTACTGGTGGTACCATTCTCTTCAGTGTTTTCAGAATTTTTATTATCTGGGTTCTTAGCATCGTTATCATTGTGGTCACCATTTGTAGATTCAACTTTGTTTGTGATATCATCTGTTTCATTGTTAGGAATAGTTTTATCTCCGGTTTTAGCTGCATCTTCTGCTTTATCCGAAATATCATTCTCAGCTTTGGCATTACCAGCACTCATTTCAATATCATCAGATTGTTTAGCTCCCTGATTCTCTGAGGATGTTTCAACAGTTTCAGACTCTTTTTTAGTTGTTGTTTGCAAAAGTTCATCTATAGCATCAATCACTGAAACACTCTTGTCATTAGCTTCTTTTTCATCAGTAACTTTTTCAGATTGTGATGTATCAGAAACTTCAATATTGGCAGCAGGGCCATCACTTTCACTAACTGCATTGTGATTGTGACTTGCTTCACTTTCTTTAGACAGATCTTTATCCTTGGCCTCCTTACTGTTTTCACATTGCTCCACATTATCATCAGATTTACTACCTGTAGTTATATCACTTTCTTTATCTAATGTTTGATTAGCATCAGTTAGTGCACTGAGATCGTCTATAAGTTGTTGATCTGTTTTATTATCCTGATCATCTTTACTTTTCTCATTTTCTTCAATTCCAGTTTGTTCCTTAGTTGCTTCTGTTTCTTGTGCAGTAATATTTTTTTCTGAGCTTGTAGTATTTTCGGACAATGCATCTCTTTGATCAGATTCATTTTTATCTAAGTTACTGTCGGGTTGTTCTTTCAAACTGTCAGATAATAATTCATCTTGACCTGTTTCATTTAATTCAATATTAACTGCAGACTGATTGTTTTCTTCACCTTTTTCAGCATCTAAATCCATATTATCTGTTTGGTTTACATTATCAGTCTTTTCATCTTTTTTTGCTTCTGAAGACTCCACATTTTTTAAATCATGTTGTTTAATTTCAGTAATACTTTCGTTGGTTTTGTTGTTCTTATCATCTATGGCTTTGTCCTCAATCATATCAATATCCCCAATTGTGGTAGTAATATTACTAATTTGAATTTCACTTTTATTTTCATTATCCCCATTACAAAGACTAGAAGATTTTGTATCACCATTCACAGTTAAAATATCCACATCTCCTGTCTCAACATGAACTGCAAACAAACTGTAATCGTGTAGGAACTCATTCTTCTCCATGCAACTTTTACAAATCATTTCAGCGTATTGGTCATTAGCAGGGACAACAGCTTCTAGATGTGAGGAATGGAGCCAGTCTTCACAGATGATACACTGGATCATATCATCTTCAGTGGTTGCCTCAGGGTCTGGGTAAGGCCGCTGGCAAGTGCAGTAAAGTCCACTAAAGTTCTGGTTATAAATGTTTTCTTCATTAAGATCAGTTTTGTCAGGAGTGAATTGGCAGGGGTGGGAATTAAATTTGGGATTGCCACAATCACATTTAAAGTTTCTTTTTGTGTAGAGTTCAATAAGTTCATGATTTTCATGACAATTCAAGCTGCAAGCAAGGCACACACCAGCTCTTTTTGTTGGGTCTGTTTTAGCTTCAGTGCAGCATGTGAGGCAGGCATATAAGGCTTGTCTTTTGATGTAACCCTGGAACATAAAGCAAATAATTTGGCTGTAGTTTGTACTGTGAAGGCAGTTTAGTGCATTACTATAAAAAGATGATAATAAATACATATTTCAAGTAAGCCTGCAATATGTAAGTTATCTGAAAATACATTATTAAAATAAAAACAACAATAATATGCAAGGAAATAAGTCTTATAGTAATTTTGAGTAGCATTATACAATAAAATATGTTTACAATGCTATTACTCATAAAGACTTTTGAAATATAAAAAAGTTTGAGTTTCATACAGTTATTTTTCAGCACTGGGTAACGTGGTCTCAAAGTGACAAAGCTCATGAAAATTGGATTCATTGATTGCAGGACACATTGATAACATTATGACCCATTTAATAACTTGTTTTAGAAAGCAAACAAATAGATTCAAGTTGTAATCTGTTACTTATCCAATAAATTTTGTGTCAATAGCAACATTCAAATTCATTTTATGTTTACATCATATTAATTGGTAGGTATTGTTAAGACTTGCACCTTCTTAAAGCAATGAACATTGAGTACTTATGTATAGCCCAAGTTTGTACACCTGTAGAAAAGGTTTTTGATGTACTAAAGAAGTAAGGTCTTTATGGCCTAATTATATGGTCTTATTAGACATTAAACCAATTTATAATATACTTGAATGCCTTAAATAAGTTTGGCTCTAGTAGTCTAGTAGTATGCAAATTTGTTAAAGCTGAGCTCCTTTGTACATTTTGAACATGCACTCATATGGTAGGTGTTTAAGACTGTTTCACTTTAAACTTATGAGTTTTATAGTACTTAAACTAAGATGATGAGAAACATTTTATCATGAGAAGCATCCCAAGATAAAATCGAAACACGGAATTAGGTGAAATTTAAGTGACCAAATTCCGTTGCAACGTCAATTACTGGACAAAAGGGCAACGCCATGTTTGTAAAATTGTAAGTTTAAAGTTGATGTGATTATATACCTTGGAATAAGTGCAGTTTTTATCATCAGAAGCTCCAAGAACAGCGTTGGCATCTTCTTCGAAATCCTGTTGTTCTTGTAAAACATCCATCATCGTAACAACTTTGTCCCCATCACAATCCGCCATTTCAGCGTCTTCAGTTATATTAACCCCGTCTGCAGCCATTTTTGTAAAACGAGAAGGTAAATAAGACGGTGTCTTAAAATGAAATGAAAAATACGAAATTTATGAAAGCCGGTTATAATGAGCGCCAAGGATTTTTTCGACAGGTGATAAAAACCGACCGAGCGAATGACGGAACGGTGCGAGAGAGGGAGGGAGGAAATGTGACGTACAATGTTGATGTTGCTAGTTGTCAAGTTATTGGCAGGTACCTACTCGTTACGCGGCGGCAATGAGTAATAGTTGAGAAAAAACATAATTGGTAAAAATACGTAGTACCTATGTGTATAAAATACGTACACTAAAGTAAACTTTGATCAACCACGACAAAACAGTAAAAAATACACAAAAGCACTGAGCCCGGCAAATTGCGGCAACTCTGTGCTTCTCTATGCCCCGATTCTTATATGATTCCTAAGGCAATGATGAATGCTACAGACAAATACTGGTAAAGTTTTCCTCAGATGCCCCGAGAGAAATGCCAGGCTAAGTTAGAAAATACATGAGAAATTGAAAAGAAGTTTTTTGTCCATATTTCCATGATTTTATTCGTATTTTAACTGGCAAAGTTAATTTTATAAAAAAAAAATATTAGTTTCTTTAGATTTTTGGAAGAAGTTAGTAGTGACTACAGTGAAAGCCGCACAAAAGAATACAAGTTCGTTTTATTTTGGAAAAATACTGCTAAAAATAAAATCGTTTAAAAAGACCTTGTGTGCTGTAGGTATTACTGATTTTTTTCTTTTCTGTCATTCCTTACGCATGACATTTTAGTATGTTATTGACGTTTAACTCTGAAAAAGTATGTTGGAATCTTACGAGATGGCGCTTTCTTCCCACTAAATTTATTAAAATACTGAATTTCTAATTTGAATTTACTCGTGGAATGATTAAAAAAAATTATAAACATATAAACTAAAGTAGGAAAGGTACATCCAAATTCTTGCGGCCGTTTCCTACATAAAGAAAACCAGCGTCTGCAGTTTTAATTTTATGAAAATACATCATTCCAGGCCAGTACAGGCTTTTCAAATAAGCGATTGATCCTCCTTGTTCTATAGAAAGATTCCAGCAACCGTTTGGAATGTCTTGATCAATGGAATCGAGAAAATCCATGCTGTAGTTGTAATCTTGTCTAGTGAGGAGGTTTGTATTCCAGCGGTGCTGTGCTGGTCTGATGTGGAGATAAGACTTTAGTAGCTTCGCTTCTGGTGCTGTCAGACCATAGAAATTCGGATTGAGCACGACTGTGCCACTTGGCTGCTTGAGTAACTGTCCTCGAGCACATATCTCTGCTTCCTCAGAAATGTTGCTGATCGTAGCAGCTAAACGACTTTCCTCTTTCATGATCATGCACCTGTCAGGGTGGTTCTCATCCAGCCCTTCATCTAACACTTTCGTCTTCATAGCCGGGTCGCCTCTGAATGGAAATGTGGTAAGTAAGGACAATTGTCTGTACTTCCTTTTCGGTTTAGGTAAAAGGCCCCAGAATTTTAAGTCTGTAGTGTAAAAATATTTTCTGTCGGCCACGGCGTCTGCGTTGATGCCTACAGCGATGTGGTAGTCATAGTCTACGGCGTAGATTTGCCCCCAGTACTGCATGTGGATGAAGTGATTCTCCACTTGCAGTAGAGTCAAGGAATTTTGCAGCAAACATATCAGTTCGTCGGTAAACATCATACCGTTGACGTTCACGTACTCCTTATAGTCGAACAGCTTGTGCACATTCATTTTGAATATTTCTAACTATAAGATATTACAACGTCTAATTATTTATTATATTTTCGATGAATCAAAATATCATGGACTTTCTGACATAAACGCGATTACATAATGCTTTTTTTTAATCAACGTGTTTACTAAAAAGTTGTATTTGATAAAAAGTTTGAACTGGAATCGGTTCCACGACCTCTTTTATAGGTTTTCATAAATATTCCATCGAAATCAGAGAAAATGTAAAACCTTCAGAAGCCATATAGATGCGAAAATTTTGTTAAATTCATGGAGGCTAAAATCAGCCTCCTTTGCAGTTGTGTTCGGGACTTGATCACAATCCTACTGACATAAACAATTAAATTATTAAGATAAAATCAACTTTAAATGTTTCAAATTTATATCCCCAGGTGTAGGTACATCGTATTTTTTGTAAAATTGATTTGGTAATCAAATCATATATAAGTATTAAATTACATCGTATTTTTTGTACCTTAACAGAAAGTTAAGTTTACTAATTGAAACAAATAATACATTTTAATAAAGAAAGTTATGTTATAAATAGGTACCTAAAAACTCAAGAGGATAATGATTTGTCCAATAAATATGAAGGTAATTCGGAGCATTACCCCAACATAAGACGCAAAATAACATACCGAACCCCTCACTTAAATGGACCTAATAAACATGTAATATAAAAACACCGAGGCAGATCTTTTTTCACTGCTAGTAAACTTTTACACACAAGGGACGCAGAAAAAGGATATTTTCTTCTCGTATGACAATTACGGACATCAAATATTTGCCTGGTCCTCTGTCGGTCGTAATGCGTAACTTGACCGCAGGATATTCCAGTTTACTTTGAACTCTCTCACTAAATAATTTCTTCGCTACCGAAGGTCAAGTTATAGCTCAAACAAATTACTTACTTTCGCAGATTATGGGTGATCATGTTGCTTGTTTGCAGACTCACGGGTGACATTTCTAAGAAAATATTGCGACGGAAAAATAGATATACCTACTTATGTAGATGCAGATATATTTTCGTCTTTCTTTTTGCAATATTTAATTTTGATTAGCGATCTATCTTGATTATCTTTGTTTTGCGTAATGGCAAATAATAAAAACATACTAATTTCAAGTAATAATATTTCTATTTTCATGTTGTAATAATAAGTTCATAGGACCGTATCCGTATAATGAGTAGGCCAATTTTATTAGTACGGCTTTTCGTCCCTAGATGGCTCTACTTACTCGAATTTCTCGTATCACAATTTTTCTGCTCCACATTTTAGTACAACTATTTAACACAAGATGTCTCTACTGGTTATACTTTTATACATGAAATATTATTTTTTATTATTTTATTAGTCAAGCCTAGAAGTATACCTACTAAAAATCTTGTGTAAGATATTGTCTCATTTGTTATTCTTAAAAGTGCTTCTACAATTTATTAAAGCAAGGCATGCCAGCAGGCACTTCTAATTATTTTTATCTTTTGGAAAGATTTAAAAGAAATGTGAAATTATTTAAATCTATCAGCGGATTACGTAGACCAACACGGCTATCTTGTCAGTGACTAACAGATTTGAGTTAAGTTGTACAAGAACTTTGATGACAGCCAACAATTTTATCAGACCGGAGAGGTACTTATGTTTTCATAGTTGTTTTCACCTTATGATTTCGCTATCTAGATAAGGAATGTGTCTACCTACGCAACCCCGCTCTACAGTAGTAAAAAGCAAAAACAGTGAAACAAAAATGTACCAACCCTACAGGTGTTGATAAGAAACAAACTTACATAAAAAAACGAAGCTGTCAGATTGACAGTTGAAAGGAGTGTCAAAGTGCACTCGAGCAATATTTTCACGTTTATCTAGCAAACAATAGAGTTTTAAACACGTGCGTCAATTAACCTCTTGTGGGAGTTGGAGATGGGTGAAGTATGTCGCGCGCGCGATTCGGCACGCGCGCCCTCTCTACGGCGCGCAATACGTGCGATACGCGCGATCAGGCTCCACGCCGGACAGTTGTATGCAAATTGAGTTCACTTGAGGATCGTTCATCAAGTTGATAATGTTTACTTGAGGAGGTGTCTTTTCCGGGATGGATTGATAAGTGTTTCATGGTTTATCTTACATGGGGTAACTCGTCATTGTGTAAGGTCCATTAACTTTTAAAGGGTTATATTCAAAATTAGTTTATCTTTATAAAAAAACAATGTGTCGAATTTTTAGCTTGATTCGGGGCTCATCCCACAGCAATTGAGCTTATAACTCGTCCAAGGGGAAGGAGAAGTTTTAAACTCAATACCATTGCTGATCCATTGACAGTTTATTACAATGCTACGATACGCTACGAGTCTCGTAGCACTTCGTAGCGACGTAATTCGATGATGCTGTCACTACCAATTAAACATAAAACATTCTACCGGAAAGGAAAGTTGTTATGTAACATACAAGTTCTTGATTTTTTCAAATACGTGTGTGATAGATACCTCGTGGTCAGTTAGAACAAAACTGTAAGACAGATTCTGCTATTCCAGTAACTTCAGAATAATTTCATTTCGGTCGAATAGTTTCGGTAGTTCAATTACATTAGCGACCCATACGTAACCATACATCATTGTTTTATTGTTTCACGCAACAAATGATTATTGCGGAGCAAACTCCCAAAGGTGGAATACTCTCAGCTCAGTGAGCATGTATCAGGAATGGAATAAAGCCGCCATATGTGGAGGCCGATTGGGTCGCGAATCGACATCGCATTGTTTTGGTTCGACACCGGCTGTCTGCCCGTGTGCCGTGTGAACACCAATAAGATGAGAAACAATGGGTGCATTCCCACAGCCGCGCCGCGGGCACCAGCCAGTCTTCTTTTATACTTTTAATTGTTTTCACCGAGAGGTTGGCAGCACTGCCCTCGGGCGGCCCCTCGCGCGGTAACCGACACCGTTGCACACAGTCAATTCGAACGCAATGTTTTCGTATTTTGCTATAGTTTATTTTTGTATTATGCAGGGATTAGTAATATTCAGAACAATCGACCGTTTGTTTAGGATTTTGCCGCTAATTTTGATACGTTCGATGACGAAAGGCGGCGTGGCTTTGCAAGTTGCTCTTTAGAGCGAAAACATAAACATTGTGGGTACGCTCTTTTTCAATATTATTTTAATCATGTTTTTATACTTAAATTACCCGGATGTTTTAATGATTAAAGTGCGGTGAATGTGCAAGTTCATTCGTTATTATGAATGTATAGCTCAATATTTGCTTCTAAGCTTGGAATTACAATTCAGTGTCGAGAAACAGTAAAGTATAATATAAGTATATATTGTTACATAGAATTATACTTAAACTAACCGCACAGCGGTTACCTATTCGTAAAAATAACCAAGCAAAATTTAGTCTGTTTCAATTTCTAAATCTAAAAAATATAGAACTAGGTAGCGACTAACAATTTGCAATAATTGCGTGTGTACCGTTATAACAGCGAAAGTTTCTTCGCGAATAATTGCAACAGTCAAACCAGAACAATGGTGTTAACGCAATATCAATTAGTTTACGAAAATTGAATTCATTAACATCTGTCGAAAACCAATTACGAATAAAAAATACGTTCTCACAATTAGAAAAATAGCGAAAACGACTTTATTCCCACAAATTTTATTATGATTGAGTGGCGAATCTGGCGAGCATACAATGGGCGGGAATATTGGGTGCTTAATCGGCCGGACGCCGTAAACAGGGTGTGACAATGGCGCGAATTCCAGATTAAGGTTATTTGTTAAACATGGCTGCCTTTGTGAAAGTTCGCGCGCTCCGGTGATCCGTCGCGCATTAATTGCTTAAGTTTTTGTAAGTTCACTGATTTTTGAGTGCAGTCTTACTAATAAGTATGAGAAATTCTTTTGGAGATCTAAATCAATATGCAGTGGGAATTGTATTTCATTTCTTTAACGTATGTTTTTAGCTGAGGGTGAAGAATTGCGCTCGAATATAGAAGCGATGGGTGTTCTAAGACAAGAGCACTTGAGCACTAACTTGAGTATTGAGAGTCATTGCGAAGTTAGGCGGAAGTGTGAGAATAAAGATTAACGGAACTTCTGTTGTCACAGGAATGATCACTCACGAGAAAGTGAGCATAATGGAAGGAAATTCATAATCGATGGCTGTATAATAAGAAGCTCGTAGATGGTTCTAGATTTGCTTATGTATATAACTCGTGTAGAAAGTCTTACTTTGGAGAGGAAAATAAGTTAGTGATCGTTGTTATCGAGGATGGCGATCTTTAGTAGTTTTATTATGTGTTTTTTAGTACTGATATTTGTAGTTTTAGTCAGTTTGGAAGCAAAGAAAGCATAGGTACTCAAACTTGGCTTGCAAATGAAATAAGGTAAATCAATATTGTTAACATACTAACTACCAACCGGAGCTGACCAGTCACACCGATTGCGGCCAAGTTTCACTGAGAGAACTCAGAGAGGCACTTAGTAATTAGGCAAGCAACCCTTTTGTGGATGCTGGATAACGTAATCACAAACTCCTGGGTCTAGTTATAACAGAAACTTGAACAATACACAAACAGACGAGACAATATTCAATATAAAACATATAATGTTTTTAAAAAGCTTAGCTCCCATGGAGTCGCGTGCCTCCCAGCCTCGCACGCGACTGACCGATGATGAACGAGTGTAAGTGTTGCCAGCGCGAATAATAACCGCGTGATGGGGTTGCAAGTAAAAATAATTGGCGCCCCGCAGTCCGACGTGCGTTAATGTTTTCATAATGATGAGTGCCATTGTCCCAGCGGATTTTGTTTTTGTTACCAGATTTGTATATTTTTTGAATGGCGCCGATGTGTGCTTGTTGTATAAATAGAGACATGAAAATACTACGGGAACATTTTGTTTCTATTGCAGTTTAATTAAATTCATCATAAGCCCTTGATAGGTAGTTGTACTTACTCAGTCTTTTTAAGGTTTCGTATCCAAATCGTAAAAACGGGAACCTATAAAT